AGGCTTATAGTGATGTGCATTACTGAGAGGGCCCAGAGATACCTCTCCGATACACGGAGTGACAAATCCTAATCCCGATCTATGCCAACTCAACAAACACCATCGGAGACACCTGTAGAGCATCTTTATAATCACCCAGTTACGTTGTGACGTTTGATAGCACACAAGGTGTTCCTCCGGTATTCGAAAGTTGCATAATCTCATAGTCATAGGAACATGTATAAGTCATAAAGAAAGCAATAGCAATAAACTAAACGATCATAGTGCTAAGCTAACAGATGGGTCTTGTCCATCACATCATTCTCTAATGATGTGATCACGTTCATCAAATGACAACACATGTCTATGGCTAGGAAACTTAACCATCTTTGATAAACGAGCTAGTCAAGTAGAGGCATACTAGGGACACTCTGTTTGTCTATGTATTCACACATGTACTAAGTTTCCGATTAATACAATTCTAGCATGAATAATAAACATTTATTATGATATAAGGAAATATAAATAACAACTTTATTATTGCCTCTAGGGCATATTTCCTTCACCAACATGAAGGTAGTCAAAATCGAGAGTGAATTAGTGAACTGGTGCCGAGCACAGAAGGTTGCAATAAAAGGTGTTGATCACATCAGGGAATTGCTCCTTATTGGAGACCATCGCGCCATCAACCCGCAAGGTGGACATGTGATTCCTATGACACCGATAATTTGCGTACTTGTGGAAAAACTTTGTGTCCATGTCCCCCTCTTTCAGCCACAAAAGCCAGGACTTTGGCGGGTGATCGTATGCTCAAGAGTCTAGATGCCGAGAAGCTTTGTTTTCAAAAGAGAACACAATACTTGTCCTGAGCTGATAGACATCTAATGTCCATAGCGGCGTCACAACGAGCAATTATCTCCAACTATAGGAGGATTGAAGTTCAATATTTCCAATCAAGTGATCACTCTAGGATTGAAGTGCCTTGTTGTAGTCCTTTGAAGTTCAATATTTCCAATCAAGTGATCACTCCAGGGTTGAAGTGTCTTGTTGTAGTCCTCAACTTGGTATCTATCACCAAGAAAGGGTTCCCCTTGGAGAAAAGAAATTCCATGACAGGACTACTACTTCCTAGAATTCCTCCACAACCGACAAATATTCTCGAATCGAAAGTGTGTATATAATGAGATGCCAGTGGACAAGTCCAAGAGGAGGGGACAATGATCAGAAGCCGATGTACTCAACGTTGAAAGAAAGCAAGAAGAGGGCTTTTCTCTTCGGTCCTTGGAGATGAAGACATGGTAAATCCTCTCGCCCTCATTCGACCAAGTGTAGCGACGTCCAACAAGGTAATTCTCCTTCAAAAGAAGGCTATTTATGACGAGTCAAAATCTTCCCATTATCCGATGATTGAATAGCACGTTGCTTTTGTCCTCCAAAGAAATAATGAGGTTGAAGTCGCCGGCCAACGCCCACAGACCAGAGTATAAGTGTTTCACACCATCCCCATGTTGACCTCGTCACAAAATGCCCAACACACGCATCTAATTCATTACTATTACCGATGTTATGTTTGTATATAGGGAAAATACCCTTTGGAACATGGTGGTAATTACACCTGGTAACCGATTTTATGTTTAAAAAAATTAAAAAAAATCAAAATATGACAAAACCTTTTCCCAACAAACTTGTGCCGTCGTTTATGTCGTACAAAAATATTCTGTAACGAAATAACTGACAAAAATGACGAATTGCCTAGGACATATAGCGTGAACAGTACCTCATATATAGTGACAAATTTGTCTTTTTACATCCACAACAACATGAAAGTCATTTCTCCGCGGAAGATTTTATAGTGCAACAATAAATCTACTTTGTTCGCAAAAAGTTTCAGATTTTTTGACTTTCTTATAATTTCTTTTTAGAAATTCGGGTTCAATTACACCCGAGAGCCAAACGTTCCCATCCTGTATATACTCACTTTTCCGCATGTCTCACAATGATCCTTTTTAAAAAAGAATCTTGTACTCTCTTTTATCACAAATATAATATGTTTTTATTTTAACTAGCAAAGATGCCCGTGTGTTGCAACGGGAGAAAAACAATATATGTAAAAGGCGGGTCAATATGCCACCATGTACTTCGACGTCTGCCTATTACAACACCATTGCACGCGCCATCCTCTCCGAGTCCAGTAAATGTTTGGCCTATTTCCTATTATTTGTAGTCGAAATAGTTCATAACAAATATCAACCACTTTCGATAATAATTGTGGCTATGGTGGTTTCTCTATTCCACCTTAGGGTATCTTTGATCCAAAATCTTTTCATTGAAAATTCAGAGGGTTGATTCCATATGATATTTTTTCTAGGTGCTTTTATTTTATGAGTGAATTAATCCTGTAGATTCTTTTGACAAATTCTTTTGCCCTACATTCGTTAGGTAATTTAATTCCACACTAATTAACCTCTTGGAACGATACTTCATTTTATTAAAGTGCATTCTAAATAAAATAGCTCGCTCGTAAATTTAATCCAAAATCAAATGAGCAAATGCCACATCTGAACCCAAGGAATAAAATTCTAATTTGTTGTTCACATATTGTAAGAAGATCATGTGTTGGCATTGAATGGAAGTAAATTTTGCAGTGCATGCAAGGCATTTCTTTGTTTGTGCATTTGGGAAAGCGAGTCACATCACGGGGCAATGATGGGTGATGGATGCCAATGAGAAAATAAATCAATAGGAAGAAAAATTAATGGCAAACAATTCTTAATAGAAAAGTGTTTGTGAAATAATTCAAACTTATGTGTTGGTCTACATCTGTTAAATAAAATTGAACAACAACAAAACTAAACTATGTATATATGTTGTGTCTTCCTAAGAATACATGCACCTGAAAATGTAGTGAAAATATTTGGTTTATAAATGTAGGTTCATAAGAAGACAAAAGGTATACACACTTCCTACATTCCAAGCAAATCAGGCACAAAGTTCCTTAGGATAGCTTATCTTGTCTCACAATTGACCGTGACAAGCATTCAGTCATCTCATGCGCATCCAAACTAATATTCTTTTGGTATGTGCATGATGATTGCCTCATGTGAAATTACATTAAGCTTACCTAGAGATCATAATAACTTGTGAACAGTAAATGCTCCATAAACAAATATATGCATGCAGTGTTTAGAATTGTATGATAGACACACTGACACACACATCTTTGTATAATTGTTCTCTGCATGCATACATATTGTTCTGAGTGTTGATGCTCCAGTACAAATTCGTACCTAAACATTCATGCTGATGGTCATGAACAAATCCCATGTAGCTACAGAAATTGTCATGTAAAATTCACAAAGGGGGAGCTCCTTCCTCACCAACACACGAACATTCAAAAAGGGACTACTCTTCGACAACGGCTGTCCATCAAGACGTCCCCGCGGCCGGCGGAACCAGCTCCTAGTCGATGGCGGTCGTACAGTGCATGAGTGTGTACTTGTTGTGCATACGTGAGTTTGTTAGCTGCGTATGAAATCCATGTACGCATACACATACTATGCATACTCTTCCTTGTTCCTCTCCTCTTCTATCTCTCTATCACTCTCTCTACAGAGAGCTTGAACCTACAGGCGCCGCTGGTCCTCGCAAGCTCCTCTTCGTCCTCCTATATCGACTTAAGCTGCCATGGACGGCTGTTGCGTCTGTGTTGACGGCGGGCGGCCCCGCCGCTGGCGGTGACCGCCTCCTCCATGCCTCCCTACTGCCCCTCGATCCTCTTGCCCGGGTAGCGTGCCCTGCCCGCACCCATCATGTTGCTCGATGCCTCGCCGAACCACCCTACCCGTGCGCAGCATGCACGCCCCTGTAGCAGGCCGCCTCACACACAATCGCACGAATCCTCCAGCGGATGTCCCGTCTTGCCTGCAGGCGGACCATGGTGCCTCTGCCGCTCGCTGGCTCTCTGCCCCGCCTCCAACTCCGACGCCTCTGTTGCCCCCTTTCCTCCACTTCCCCGTCTCCTTTCTGTCGACCCCCTCCTCCTTCCCTCGTGCGCCGCAACAAGAGGGGAGCGTCGCGCCCATCTCCTCTTCATTGAGCCGCCTCCTGCCCCGAGCAGAGAGCTCGCACTGCGCCCCACCGAAGGCCGGCCTTGACCCGGTGCACCCAAACCAATCCACACAGCAGGCAGCCACCGAGGAGCCCGAGCTCCTCCCATGGACCCCAGCTGCAGCTCGCTATGAGCGCCACCCCTCCCCTCCTCTGTTTTTCCTCTAACGGAGTTGCTATTTTTTTGGATCGTAATCAATGAAGCCTGGGAGGAAGCCTATCACCATATCGGCCCAGTATGGCTGGCGTAGGAAGTACACCTCGCGTATATATTTTAAATTTAAATTGAAAGCGTAAATTTATGAGAAGAAGCGTATTTGTGACGATGAACCCACAGAGTCAATCCGCGCTTTATTATTGTTAAGGAAAGATATAGACTATATACAAACTGAAATCAGCAAATAAACACACTAAAACATGTCTATATACCCTTTCTGTTTCTAAATATAAGTCTTTTTGAGATTTCAATATAGACTATATTTAAAGCAAAATGAGTGAATCTGCACTCTAAACTATATCTATATACATATGTATGTAGTCAATATTAAAATCTAAAAAAAAGACTTATAATTAGAAACAGAGGGAGACATCCCATTTAGATCAGAACATCTTATATTTATGAACAATAGGGAGTACCACTGTTATGTGTCCTATGAATAAAGATATTGTATATCTAGTTATAAATTCATGGAGAGAGGGTTAACGATGTATTGAGAAGAAAAGTAAGGGCTCAAGTGCAAACGAGGAAACCAACCTCCTCCCTATAACAACTCCGCCGCGCGCCCACCTCCCCTCGCCGGTATCGTGTCCTCGTTCACGCCCAACCCACCCCACCCCATTTCCCCGACCTCCGATGCCGGAGCGCCGCAACGTAGCCGGAGATCCGCCGTACTGGTGATCCCCGGATAACAACGATGGACCGCCTCTTGCTGTCCCGCCCCCCGATGCCCACCCCCGTCCACGGCGCTGCCACGGCCGCAGATGGCGACCTCCTCGAGCTCGACGTCCTCTGGCCCGCCTCTTCAGCTCCGGGACTCCTCGCCGCGCTTCCCGATGATGAGGCTAAGAAGAAGCAGAAGCGCGCGGGCGGCCCTGCCGTCCGATCCGCCGCGCGCGCCGTCCCGGAGAAGGCCGCGTTGACCCCGTCTTCGGCGGCGAGGTCGGCTCCGGTGCGCATACCTTCGGATGCTGCGGCGCGGAGAGGGAGGTGGTCCCACGTCGTCGTCGGCGGCGACGACGGGGACGCCATGGTCCCGCCGCACGAGATCGTCGCGCGGCGCGCGGCAGCGCACAGCTCCGTGCTGGAGGGAGCCGGGAGGACGCTCAAGGGCCGCGACCTCCGCCGCGTACGCAACACCGTCCTGCGCCGCACCGGCTTCCTCGACTGAGAGGCGGAGGCGAGTCGCCTCGTCGCTTTCGCGATAAAGTTTTGACTTCTGTTAATTCCCCCCGTTAGTTCCATCCATTGCGTTTCCGGCAGTTTTGATTTCATTCCCCGATGGGAAGGGGATGAAAAGTAAAGAGGTGAGGTGAGATGAGTGAGCGAGAATTACAACACGACAATAACAGTGCTGTTCCATTCCATCACATTATATATATGGAAATTTTGGCCATTATGTTTGTTCAATCAGTTTGTCTGCTGTGTTTAACGATGAAATGAAAATCTAGACTTGATTCCATGGACCGAAGAAATTAGTGCCTGCCTTCTATGCGAAATGCTGTTCCTGACGAATTATGTTGGGCTCCTATCTTCTACAGTGCTTGATGCAGAAAGATGCAAAATGAAATTCTTTGGTGGTTGCCTTTTGGACGCCAGAGGATTGTTGAATTGGCTCTCTGCTCACAGGCTTGTGCTTAGTCTATTCTAGTTATGTTTGGATCATAACATGTTCCCATTTCTAGCTAATGGTGGAGAAAATTCAGCGCTACAATGTTATCGTACTGGTTACGTTGTAGTTCTATGTCGTGGAACTTTTATTGCTTTGTGCTGGTTATGGGTTATCACATGTGGTAATAATTAGTTGGTACTTCCTCCGTCTGGAATTAGTTGTCGCTCAAAGTGCTAGATACACCCGTTTGAGCAACAACTAATTCCAGATGGAGGGAGTATTTTGTTTCTGTTTCTATTTTTTCATGTAAATTCATTCTCACGGAGAAACATAGCACTGGAATCAAGTGTTGTTTTTCAAACAATGGTTGTGTTCTTGTGGAGATTAGAGATAAATAAGGCTTAGGTCAAAATGTTTTGTTGATATCTGAACAATTTGATGTTCACTAAGAAATGATTAACATGGGAACATAAATTCCGATTTCATGGAAATCCTTTACACTTGTATTTGCTTGGCTTTCCTCTTAGTTTACTTCCTGTTGCAATAGTGCTTTTTTACTGTGATTCTGGAAACTACTACAAAACACCTTAGTGTTGTCATGGAATTATTTGCATTCCTCAGGTACAAGGACCACCACTGCACTGCCAATGTTACTAGTGAAATGTTCCTCATTCAAATTCAGCAATAACTCACAACACAAGGACACAAGGTGCTTGGATTATATCCATCAAGATACATCTATTCAAATAGTCTAGCTCATTGCTATCTTATCCTGTGGAATAAAGATGTTTTTGCCTGGTCACTTCAAAAAATTGCTATTTAATGAAGCTTTTGAGAGAACTGACGAGGTTACCCTCAGCTCAGAGCAATCACTAGTCTAGTGCAATATGCTTTGTTGATTTTTGTTGTTAGTAAAAAGTGGTACCATCAACAAATAATTGATTAATTTGTAGTGAATTGTCACTAGAAGGAATTTAATCCAAGGACATGACTACCCATTGCTAGTTTGCTACTGAGATTGGATTTTCGCTTCCTGCTCAATTATCAGTTTTTGCAGATTAAAACAAATAACTTATCTGGTTTGCAAGGTCATTCTATACTACTGTACTTACCAGCTCCGCAGATGCCTCACCAAAAATGCAAATCTTGTCGAAACAGGTTATGTTGTTTGCCGAATGATCTCGATTTTGCATCTCTTCTGAAACTTGGAGACCAGAGGACTAGTTTATCGGCAGGCAACCCACATGCCACATCCATATGCGTTATTTCTCCAAATGTTAGGTCATACAGTACTCCCTCCGTTTCATAATATAAGAGCGTTTCTGACACTAGTGTAGTGTCAAAATATATTGTGGGACGGAGGGAGTACATTTTAGTAATAGAACTGACGGTGACCTTATACATATTTTGCCTTCACAGTGCGTGGTCAAAGAAACAATCATTATGTCTTAATCATTCATTAATCGCTATCGTTTTCAAGACTTGGTCCACCGATGTCCCTTTATTTGATTCCATCATATAATCGGGCCATTGTGTTCTTTTTGCTCCTGTGGTCTCCACATAGTGAAACTCAACTGCTCCGAATATGCAATGTATCCTCCTTTATGTACTACTGTCTGCTGATGACCATAGGTCCATAACTTATTTAATGAGCATATGTTTTGTCCAGCTCATGTATTTTTTGAATCTGTGCAACTCATATTTCTGTTACGGAGTAAACAATATATGATGCTTACTGCCAAGTCCATGATTACCTCCATTATCTTATTGATTAGGTCGTATTCGAAAAATCTTATTGATTCCGTGATCAGCTGTTGATTTAGCTATAGTCAGACTATTTCATAGATCACCAACTGCTTACTTTATTTTGTCAATCTGGAACAGTGGGATTAACGTGTATGAGAAAAATCTCAAAGGGTTGTTTGCATGCAGTTTTGGTCAGAATGTTGCTTCACGGTTGTTATTTGGTTCCTTGCAGTTCTGGTCTATGTATTAATGTGTAGAGGAAATTATTGCATATACTACTGGTTTCCCCTTTTGTATCCATTCTCCCTTCACAGAGTTTCATCTGATTGTGGTTATGTGGCATCGACCGTAGGCATACAAATTTGGAACCTTTAGGGTACCCTCAGACCCTCCTTAGTTCAATCAAATGAACTAAAATTTTGGAAGTAATGTAAATTCCGAAAAATTAGTTCATTTAGTTGAACTAAGAAGGATGGGAGGGTACATTCAAGGTTCCAAATTTGCATCCCTGATCGACCGAATTACATCTGATACTAAATGCACACCGAACCGAAAATTGGCCCCATTCTGTGGTCTTGCATTGTTGCTTGCCCAGATCTACTTTGTGTGATCATGTGGTTTACATGCCTGTCCTGGATTCTTTTCTGGTTTTTTGGGACACTTGTAGTGATGTGGGCTCTGACGCTCCCTTGTGGTCCAGCGCTATGATGGTCATGGTGTGACATGTTGGAAAGATTTTCTCAACTTTGCGAGGTATCGTTGCCTGTAAAGATGGTTCACAGGAACATCGTGCTGCTTCCTTCAGTTGCCAAGGAATATGCTCCCTGTGCATCCGTTTTTCAACATCTTTCAGTTGGCAATTCCTGTGGGAACTTTGCTCCTCGGTTCCAGACCTCAATGATGAGGTGCAAGGGGAGGCTCTTCGATTCAAAGGACTTCCCTAGGAATATCGGAGGATTATAATCCTTATGTTTTCCATATGAATATTTCCTATTGGATCCTCTGCACTCTATTTGATACTGAAATTTCCATCGGCTGTAGCTTTAAAAAAAAAAGAGAAGATGATTTCACACGGTGTCCTCTGAAGCTGATAAGTTTGCAGATGTCCTACAGTCAAACAGGAAATTTCCATTGGATGTCTGAATGGAAGCCCGCCAGTCAAAAATTAAAGTTTTGGGTCGGAGTTGAGCTACAAATTGGCATTTCTAGTCTTTAGCCTCACTAGATATGCATCTCGATCTGTTTACGTGTTGTTTGTGCTAGAAATTTGTGATGCTGTGAAACGTCTCTTTGATGTGGTTGGAGACTGAATTTGGAGTTTCGAATTTGCAACCTGAATTCGAGTACAGTATGGGCAACTGAACTGTTGCATGCTTTTGCCTACCTCCGCTAGCTAGGATGTGAATTTGCAACAAATTTGGAGTTCCGAAATAAAGCACAATTGGAAACTAGTTCCGCAAACATGTGTTCTGAACCTGGCCCCAATATGTAGTGATTTGCATGGCCCCAAGCTCGTCATATTCTGAACCGTGGTGTTGGAATACTTGCGTGTCGTCTGTTTGTGTGATCAGATTCAGAGGCAACATTTACAGGTTGTGTTGTTTAATCAATTCCGACAGTTCGGTTTCTGCAGGTCTTGTTCAGTTTAGTTTACCTGGCTTGTACAATTAAGAATGCCAGATTGATTATTTTAGAATAATTTGACATGGGTTTGGAGAATAAAATTGTGGTGCGGCTGCCCTATTGTAGGGTAACGTTGGAGATGAGCATTTTCAGATGCCCTAAAAATCGCCTTTTGATGTTGCAAATTTTACTTTAAGTAGCTTTTGGTGCACTATTTTCGCGCACCTATTGGAGATGCTCTTATTATCAGGACAACTTAAACTTAAAACAGTCAGAGCGGACTCCATAAAAATCAACCGCAGGAGAAGTACAATACACTAGAATTTCTCAAAAAGAAAAAAAAGTACACTGCACTAGAATTCCCAATGCTCACCAGCTGCAGAGCCTGAAGTCCCTCTGCATGGGTCCATGGGAGAAGTTGAAGTCAAGACGCATGGAATCTTTGCCGTGTGCATCCATCCATATGAATACTTCAGACCTTTTCAGTTGTGAAACCGCGTCCTTCCGGCGAGAGCGACGACCTCCCTGTCATTATTACTGTCGCTAGCATTTCAGTAAGAGACGTCCAATCTAAATCACCCTGTAGTCTGAGGAGACGTGGTCTTATGCTTGACCGAACGCGAACGATTCAGCTACTGAATTCTGGGTCTGCGAGACACTGAACCTTTTCCTTTTGTTGTTTCGGTGAAGTTCTTTTGGGGAGAAAAGCTTCCGATCGGACATCTGGAGGGATTAACCTAGTTTAGTCTGATAGGCTCTGGGTTATACCATCCTATAACAATATCTAGTCATAAGCCAAAAGACAAAGCCAAGATCGCGTAAATATGTTCTTATTTAGCTTACAAGGTAAGCACAAAAGCTAAAATTACGATAAAGTTATTTGTGTTGACTTCGCTGGCGCAAAATGACAAATGAAACGTTTTTTATGACAATTTATATGGTCACAAGGATGGTAATTTGTTTTAGCAAACACAACAAATTATGGTAGGTAACTGAATCAAGACGAATTTGCCATGCTTGCTAACTAAATTTACCATCTTCAATCAACACAAATTGCTATCAAATAGTTTGCCTTTTGTCATTCTCCTTAGTGAGTGTTCGCTGATTGAGCCGGTCCAAATTAAGACTAATCAAACACCCTGTAAAAAATAAGCTACAGAATCATCACAAAACCAGCTAGTAGCATCAGT